AGGGTTTCTGAAGAAGGGTCTAGGCCTGAAACGTCAGCCTTCCTGCTCCTCTGATGCTGCATGGCCTGCTGTGTTCATCCAACTCTACACCTTGTTATCTCAGATTCTCCAGCATCTGCAGTTCCTGCTATCTCTGAAACTATTATTGAATACAATTTGATGATAAGCCACATTAGGAGATATGAGGGCAGATGGCAATTGATTGATCAAGGAGGTAGGTATTAAAGAACATTGTAAAGAAGGAAGGATAAAAGAGGACCTGAGATGTTTAAGAAAGAAATATAAAGATTGGAGCCTTAACTACTGTGAAGACATGAGTGCTAATTGTAAAGTTATTAAGATCAGGGATGCTCAAGAGATCAGAATTGGAGAAATGTAGGACTCTCAGAGGGTTGTCGTTCAGAAGATTACAGAGGTCGTAGAGTTATGATGGGGAAGGTCAAGACCAGGGAGGGATTTGAAACAAGGAGAAGAATTTCAAAGTTAAGACACATCTTATTAGATACAAATGTAGATCAATGAGCATTTGACTGATTGACGGATGGTATTTGTGTACGTACAACAGACCTTTGAATGACTGAGGTTCACAGAAGTCAGAAAGTGGGAAGCTCATCTTGAAGAAGTTAAAAACATCAAGTCTAGAAATAACAATGAGGGTTATCAAGAGATGACCTGAAACAAGTGCAGAGTCAGACAGTGAAAAATAAGGTTTTAGATTTGGGAAGCACCCAATCACCTTCAGGAAAGACTAGTGACAAAGAGTCCATATTGTCATTTAAAGTTGTTTCTTAAGGCTATTACAAAGCAAGAGTTTAGATATAATACCATAGCCAGACAGACAGATAGGAAAAGTCCACAAGCTATCACAGTTGAAAACATTTCACTGATACCAGAGGATGAACAAATAGTTGGCACTAAGCATGTTGATATTGGTAACTTGTGATGGCAGCATTTCCGCTGTCCAGCCAAAGTGCTGAGAACTCTTATTCCAGTCTTCCTGCATCTTCCTTTGTCCATCTTCTATCTGAAGATGAGGATTGCCCTATCTCCAAGTACATGTTAACATAGTTTATTTGTTAATCACTTGTTTGAATTTTTCCCAATAATGAATACAGAATGGGTAGCCAAGGTGCCTGGATGATCATCCCCACACCCTATCCACCATCCAGCTGAATGTCAGCATTTGGATTGTCACTGTGCAGGAGGTTGTATAATGACCTTTTTCCAAACACTTGCATAAAGGAATACATGGAGCCACAGGACTCCCTAAGGTCAAGTCAGGAATATCTGTGGAGCCTAGTGATCGCAGATCTGGTAGTACAATCTTTGACTTTTACCTCCATCTTGCCCTGGTCTCTGATGGCTTAGAATTGTGTATCCATTTCCAGAGAGAACACATTCCTGATGTTCCAATTAATTTGATGAAAGTTCTGTACTACCCTAAAAAAATTATTTCTTAAAGGTCATTATGTTCTTACAGGAAATGCCAGGAAAACTGCTTGGCACTTAATTCATTGGACTTTTTTGAAAAGAGATGAGGCAGAGCTCTCACCAGCTCTCCACCTGGCAGGCAAGAGCCTCTTCACCTCCATTAAATACTGCCTGTGTTTCCAGATGTTGTCACAAAGGGACAACAGATAGATGAGTAATAGGAAGAGGAAGGGGGCAAGGATAGATCCTTAGGAGAGGGACACAGAGGGAAACACCAGAGTTACCAATGTAAGACCATGAAGAGAGGCCATTAGAAGTCACTCCCTGGCTAAATTAAAGCGCATGTGATTGGAGTAGTGTACTGACACAGATAGAGAACAGATAGAGATAGAGATAGGAATAAATAGATCTTTTCCTGAGTGGAAGGCAGTGACTTGTGGGGGAGTACATGGAATAGATCCCAGCTATTCACAATATATATATTACCAAATGTAGTATTTCCAAGTCTTCAGAAAACACAAAGCTGGATGGGAGGGAAGCTGTGAGGAGGATGCATAGATGCTTCAGTATGATTTGGACAAGTTGCCTGAGTAGGCAGATGCATGGTACATGAATTATAATGTGGATAAATGTCAGGCAATCCACTTTTTTAGCAGAAACAGGAAGTCAGATTATTATCTGATTGGCAATAAGTTATGAAAGAGGGTGTGCAGCAAAACCTGGGTATCCTTAAATATCAATGGATGAAATTAAGGCTGCAGCTGCAGCTGCAGCAGACGATGAAGAAGGCAAATGTTATGCTGGCCATCATAGCAAGGGAATTTGAGTGCAGAAGCAGGGATGTCTAGTTACAATTGTATAGTGCCTAGGTGAGGTCACACCTGAAGCATTGTGTGTATTTTTGGCCTCCTTTTCAGAGAAAAGATGTTTCGCTGTGGACGTGCAACATAGGTTTGCCAGACTGATTTTTGGGAAGGCAGAATAAAAACTGAAAGAACTGCGGATGCTGTAAATCAGGAACAACAACAGAAGTTGCTGGAAAAGCCTAGCAGGTCTTGCAGCATCTGTGAAAATAAGAGTTAACGTTTCATGTGCGGTGTTCTGAGGAAGAGTCACTGGACCTGAAACGTTAGCTCTGATTTCTTTCTTGATAGATGCTGCCAGACCTGCTGAGCTTTTCCAGCAACTTCTGGTTTTGTTTTGCGAAGGCCGGACTGACATACGAAGAGAGACTACACCGGTTAGGACTGTATTCACTGGGGTCTAGAAGAATGATGGGCTATCTCATAGACACCTATAAAATTCTAACAGGACTAGACACGGTGAACACAGGAAGTTGGTTCCCGATGACTGGGGAGTCCAGAATAAGGGATGACAGTCTAAGGATATGAGGTAAGCTGTTTAGGACTGAGATGAGGAGAAATTTCTTCATCAGAGTGCGTCAGCTTGTGGAATTTTCTGCCACAGAAAGTGGTTGAGGCAAAACATAGGATGTTTTTAAGTTCAATATAGTTCGCCACAGGTGAGGTGGCGGAAGACTGGAGGTTGACCAACGTTGTGAGAAAGGTGTTAAGGAAAAGCCAGAGAACTATATACCAGTGAGCCTGAGATTGGTGGTAGGCAAGTTGTTGGAGAGAATCCTGAGGGTCAAGATTTACATGTATTTGGAAAGGCAAGGACTGATTAGGGATAATCAACATGGCTTTGTGCATGGAAATCGTATCTCACTAACTTGATTGAGTTTTTTGAAGATGTAACAAAGAGGATTGAGGAGGCAGAGCAGTGGATGTGATCTATATGGACTTCTGTAAGACCTTCAACAAGATTCCGCATGGTAGACTGTTTGCAAGGTTAAATCACATGGAACAGAGGGAGAACTAGCTACTTGGATACAGAACTGGCTCAAAGGTAGAAGACAGAGGCTGGTAGTGGAGGGTTGCTTTTCAGACTGAAGACCTATGACCAGCGGTGTGCCACAAGGATCGGTGCTGGGTCCACTGCTTTTCATCATTTATATAAATGATTTGGATGTGAACATAGGAGGTCACTAATTTTGCAGATGACACCAAAACTGAAGGTGTAGTGAACAGCAAAGGTTACCTCAGAGGACAATGAGATCTTGATCAGATGGGCCAATGGCTGAAGAGTGCCGGTTGGAGGTTAATTTATGTGATAAATGAGAGGTGCTGCATTTTGGAAAGGCAAATCAGGGCAGGAGTTATACACTTAATTGTAAGGTCCTGGGGAGTGTTGCTGAACAAAGACACCTTGGAGTGTAGGTTCATAGTTCCTTGAAAGTGGAGTCACAGCTAGATAGGACACTGAAGAAAGTGTTTTGTATGTGTTCCTTCATTGGTCAGTGCATTGAGTATAGGAGTTGGGAGGTCATGTTGTGGCTGTACAGGACATTGGTTAGGCCACTGTTAGAATACTGCATGCAATTATGGTCTCCCTCCTATAGGAAGGAATGTTGTGAAACTTGAAAGGGTTCAGAAAAGATTTACAAGGATGTTGCCAAGGTTGGAGGGTTTGAGCTATAGGGAGAGGCTAAATAGACTGGGGCTGTTTTCCCTGGAGCATGAGAGGCTAAGGGGTGACCTTATAGAGGTTTATAAAATCATGAGGGGCATGGATAGTGTATATAGACAAGGTCTTTTCCCCAGTTTGGGGGAGTCCAAAACTAGAGGACAGAGATTTAATGTGAGGGGAGAATGATTTAAAGTGGATTTAAGGGGCAACATTTTCATGCAGAAAGTGATGCATGTGTGGAATGAGCTGTTAGAGGAAGTCCTGGAGGCTGGTACAATTACAACATTTAAAAGGCATTTGGATGAGTATATGAATAGGAAGGGTTTAGAGAGATAGGGCCAAATGCTGGCAAATTGAACTAGATTTATTTAGGAAATCTGGTCGGCATGGACAAGTTGGACCGAAGGGTCTGTTTCCATGCTGTACATCACTATGACTTTATGACTCTAGTTTTTGGGGCTAAAGGGATCAAAGGATATGGGGAAATGGTAGGACCAGAATGTTGGATGTTCAGCCATGATCATATTGAATGGCAGGGCAGGCAGGGAGGACTAGATGCTTTACACCTGCTCCTATTTTCTATGTTCCAATGTTTGTAATTTGACAAATAAGAATGGAATTAGGCCAGAGCAGTCCCATGCAGTAGACAAGGCCGGAGAGATGTTGGGGGCTGATGATGTGGTCAACAGTATCAAAGGCTGAAGAGAGGTCAGGAAAGACAATGTATGATAATCAAACATTGACATGTCACATGTGATTCTGTTAAGAGACATTTCAGTACTGTGATAGACTTAGACTCTTGATTGGAGGGGTTCAAACATTTTGTTCCCGGAAAGATGGATATGTATTTGGGAGATACAACACATTAAAAGGGAACTGGAGAGCAAAGGAAAGTTGAAGATGCAATAGTGTATGTATGGACAGAGAAGTCAAGAGGTTATTTTTTGTGGAAATGGGTAAATCCTGCAGATTTCAAGGGGAGATACAGTAGCTGAGGCTAAAGAACCATTCAACTAATTGGCTGACATGGGAACCAGGAAGCGAAGCTAGATGGTCAACAGTCAGGTGGGAATCTTTTTGTTTTATTTGTTAAGGGACGAGGATGTCACTAGTTGGGCACCTCTTTATTGCCCATCCCTAATTGCCCTAAAGGCAGTTAACAGTCAATCACATTATTGTGGACCTCGAGTCACATGTAGATCAGACCAGTCATGGGTGGCAAATTTCCTTCCCTTAAGGTCATTAATGAAACAGATGGGGTTTAGAGCAATCAACAATCATGTTGCCACATTCGACATTTTTATTGAATCCAGTTATTATTATCATAAGGCATAATGACATTTGAACCCGTGTCCCAGAACATTAACTGGGTCATAGAGTCATACAGGATGGAAACAGACCCTTCAGTCCAACTTGTCCATGCAGATCAGGTTGCCTAAACTGAACTAATCCCATTTTCCTGCATTTGTCCCATTTTCCTCCAAACGTTTCCTATTCATGTATTTGTTCAAATGTTTTTTTAAATGTTAGAATTAAACCCACCTGAACCACTCCCTCTGACTGCTCGTTCCATATATGCGTCACCCTTTGCCCGTCAGGTCCATTTTAAATCTATCCCTTCTCAGGGTTCTGGATTACTGATCCTACATGTTTTTATTTAAAGACATATAAAGCTCATCATGTACTTCAAATCAACAAGGACTCTTTTAAATTTATAATTAGTTTAATTTAAGTCAACATGTTATGACACACCTCCACAGTAGGTGGGACTTGAAGCTGGACCTCCAAGCCCAGAGGTAGGAAACTACTGGTGACCACAAGAGCCCTAACTTTGAGCCATATATCTATAACACAGATATTTTTAATCAACCTACTCTGGCATGTTATTATACATTTCTAGAGCTGGATATGTTCATCATCTTGTCATGTGTTTGTGGTGGAGCAAATTATAGATATTTTTAATCAACCAGATCAGATATGTAATGTAACACTTCTGGAGCAGATGGGACTTGAACCTGGGTGTCCTGGCTCAGAGGTAGAGACACTACTACCATGTCACAAGAGCCCCTTAGTGCATTAGTGACCCCTGGGGAACAGCACTGTCAGTATTTTCCAATCAACCTATTCAGAGATGTTATTACTCACCTCTGGAGCAGGTGGCCCAGTAAATGTCCAGCACCTAAATACAATTAGCAACCAATTACTATAAAATCAATTATGGACAAAGAAAAACTGATCAGATTATGCTAAACATCAAACAAACAATTCAGAACGTTGTAGAAATTATCCCAGGTTAGTGACAGTTTTGCTAGTTCCATTCAGGACAGCCCTAGGAACAGTACAATTAGTTCCAGTTTCCCCTGAGGGAGGGGACTCGTGTGCCACCTGGTAATGTTCCTGACCCAGAAGGCCTAGGTTCAACTCCCACTCTCCAGAGGTGTGTCCTAACACGTCTGAACAGGTCGGCTAACCATACCTTTGAAATTTTGAAGTACCAATGATATTCCTTAAGTGTGATGTTATTAGTATTGTTCAACAAGAACTGGAATGAGGTGTGAGTGAAATTTGATTCAATGTAGGATGCAGGCAGCAGTGTATCGAATAAGCTAAAGTCTCAACCGTTTAGAAACAGGAGAAAGAGCAGCAAAAATTCTGTAAATAGCCTCAGTGTCATTGAGCTAGACAGCCAAATAGCTCACACTATACAATGGCATGCTTCATGCATGCGTAGTGTTAAGTATAACATATTGGTATTTGCTGTCTAAGTGCATATTCAAATATTGGCATTTGTTTGAGGTACCGGAAGCTAGGATCCAGATACCGGAAAATTGAGTCTTTACAAAGATGGGAAAGAAAGGGGAGAATATAATGAAAAATAATTAAACATATTATATATTGATTTTTTTTTTAACTTTCTCAGCCTCTAGCAAAGTTGAAACATCTGACATACTTGGATATGTCAAAGAATAGAATAGAAACGATTGAGTCAGATATTTCTGGATGCGAAGGCCTGGAGGACCTCCTGCTTTCATCCAATCTGCTGCAACAGCTGCCCGACACCATAGGTAGGAACAATGTTACCATTTTCTTTTTATTAATTTAACCATGACTGTTCTCCTAAAAAAAAAAGAGAAGGAATAGAGAATGACTAATAATGCAGGTACAACTTATAGTTCAAAATATTGGTGGATGATTTTGAAAGGACGTTAAGTAATATAAGACTTTGTGCATCTGAGTTATGGCAAAATGGCATGAATTAACTCAGGTATGTATTTTTAGTAGTGCAGCTTGAATTGAAAGGCAGAATTTAGTGCCCACCCATCAGGTGACCTGAGGTGGGGCCATTTAACTGAGTGAGGAGGAGTTCCTGCCAAGTGCCAATGGGCACTGAATGCACACTTAAGGGCTTCATCGTGCTGCTGCTTTTGTTCAGCCAGCAATGAGTAGGCTAGTCATCCTGTCAGAAGCAAAATATCCTGCGAAGGGTGTGTTCGAGGAATCCAGCATTGGGAAGAAGGAGCTTGCTCAGAGCCAGCCCTCCCATAGGTACCCGAATCCAAAAATATCCTGCCCTCAATCAGCTGTGACCTGGATCCCTCAGTAACCTAGATTTCTCTCTGGCAGCTACCACTGCCTCGCCCAGTGGGATTTCTACTTCTATGGTCCTTGAATCCAGGAAAGGCCCACCACTGTCCATTTAAGTGCTCTAAGAATAACTTAATTCCTTCCTCAAATGAAGAGGTGGAGGGCCTCTGCTGACTCTCCATTTGGCAGTCCTGCATTAAATATTGTTCAAAGAGTGCACTAAAGCAACCCCTGAAGGTTTACCTAGTGGTTCAGCAGATAAATACCCATAGATTAGTAAAAGGCAAAAAGAATCATAGAGTCATTTGGCACGGAAACAGTCCCTTTGGTCCAACTCGTCCACTCCAAACAGACATCCCAATGCGACCTCGTCCCATTTGCCAGCATTTGGTCCGTACCCCTCTAAACCCTTCCTGTTCGTATACCCATCTAGATACTTTTCAAATGTTGTAATTGTACCCACTTCCACCGCTTGCTCTGGCAGCTCATTCCGTGCACGCACCACCTTCTGCAAAAAAAATTATCCCTCAAGTCCCTTTTAAATCTTTCCCATCTCACTTTAAACCTATGGCCTCTAGTTTTGGACTCCCACACCCGAGGAAAAAAACCTTGGCTATTCGCCCTATCCATGCCTGTCATGATTTTATAAATCTCTTTAAAGTCACCTTTCAACCTCCACTCCAGGAAAAATAGCCCCAGCCTCCCTATAATTCAAACCCTCCAGTCCTGGTAACATCCTTGTAAATTTTTCCTGCACCCTCTCAGGTTTAACAACATCCTTCCTATAGAAGGGTAACCAGAATTGTACGCAGTATTCCAAAAGTGGTCTCACCAGTGTCCTGTACAGCTGCAACATGACATCCCAACTCCTATACTCAATGTTCTGTCCAATGAAGGCAAGCGCATCAAACACTTTCTTCATCACCCTGTCTACCTGCAACTCCATTTTCAAGGAACCATGCACCTGCACCCCTAGGTCTCTGTTTGGCAACAAATTTGTTCTCTGACTATGTTAAGGTGGTTTCAAGTTGAATATCACTGAAACAGCTGCAACTGTCAACACACCACTCATCATTAGGGACAAAAAAATCAGTCAGAGTTCTACGGGATACATTAGATTCAGGAGGATATTACAATGATGGAGACAGAGCTTGTCCCAGAGGGTTCAAGGACAGAATCTATTTAGTTCAACTTAAGAAATAATTTAAGGTACAATGACATTGTTTGAAATATTCTACAGGTCACCAACTAGTGGTAACGATTTAGAAGGTTTTCCATTCTTGCTTCAATAGAGTGATGGTGACAGAGGACTGGAGAATTGGAAATATTCAAAACATTCTTACTCAAAGAAAGCTGTAATATAAGGAGTAGGAACAGGAGTGGCTCAGTCAGCCTGCCCCACAATTCAACATGATCATGGCTGATCTGCCTCAGGCCTCAACTCTTCTTTCATGCAAGCTTGCCATAGCCCTCAAGTCTCTTTTATATCAAACATTTTCCGACCTTATCTTTTGATGTTTTCAGTGATCTAGCCTCCACAATTTTCTGGGATAGAGAATTCAAGGTATTCAGTACGGTCTGAGAGAATAAATTTCTTTGCATCTCAGTTTCAAATGAATGTTCCCTTATTTTGTAACAATGACCCCCGTTTGAGATTCATCCACTGGTGAAAATATCTTCTCAACATCTACCCTGTCAGGCCCCTCAATCTTCTATATTTGAGAGATCAGTCTTCATACATCTATTAAAGCCCTAACTTTTTTTTTAATCTGTTCTCAATAAGTCAACCCCTTCATTCCAGGAAGCCTTGTGAATCTCTTTTGAATTGCCTCCAATGCCAATATATCCTTTCTTAAATATAGGGACCAAAACTGTAGATGCTACTCCAGATGTGGCCTCAGCACTACCCTGTACAGTTGTAACAAGACTTCCCTATTTTTAAACTCCAACCTGCTAGCAGTAAAGGCCAAAATTCCATTTGTCATTTCAATTACTAGCTGCACCTGCATGGTAACTTTGTGTTTCATGCACAAAAACACTCAGGTACCTCTGTGATGCACTTTCTATTCAAATAGAATTCAGCCTTTTGTTTCTTCCTACTAGTGCACAACTTTCCTACATTAAATTCCAGCTGTCAAGATTTTGCTTACCCACTCATCCTGTCTATAACACTTTCAGATTCTGTATGTCTTCATCACAACACGCCCTCCAATCTATTTTTGTATTCTCAGCAAATTTGGATTCATTGACACTGCCCACTCTAATAATCGAGGCTGTCGACTGCTCTTTGTGGTACTCCACTATTTGTCTTTCTAACATGTAAAAGACCCATTAAAACTTACTGTCTGCCTTCTGTGTTAACCAATCCTCAATCTGTGCTAATATATTACCCACAGTACAGTGACCTACTGTCTTGTGCAATAACCTTTTATGTGGCACTTTATCAAATGCCTTCAGATAAGGCCAGCAATTACAAACCAGGGAAGCTTTTGGAAATGATGATTCAGACCAAACGTAATAGACATTTAAGAAAATTAAATTACTTATAGAAAACCAGCACAATTTGTTAAGTGTAAATTGTATGTAAGTAACTTGCTTGCATTTTTAGATGTGAATGATATGGATTTCCAAAAGATATTTCATAAAGCAGCACACATAACTGACTCATCAGTATAGTTAGAGCTTATGGAATAAAGGGACATTAGCAGCATGGAAATGAAATTCGTAAGTGATGGGCGTCAGAGATTAATGGTTAACAAATGTTTTTCAAACGAGATAAAACTTAGTGGAGTTCCCTAGGAGAAAGTGTTAGGGCCCTTGTTCCTCTTGATAAAAATTAATGACTCAGATGTCAGTGAAGTTTGAAGTTTTGTGGGCTGTAAAGATGAAAATGCAAAATGTTGTAAGGTGGCAGATAAATCATTGCACCCTTTTTTCTTTGTTTAATTTTATTTTACCAGGAAGAGACAACGTAGAGTACAAATCAATATGAGGTACAGGAAGAGTAAATATGCACAAATCATTGAAGGGGACGTGCTCCTTCAGAAATGGCATAAAGGAACCAAAATTTATAGAGGGACATTGAGTACAAAGAAAGGAAATCATGATAAACCTGCATAAAACATTGGTTTGGCTCAAATGGAGAATTGCATCCAGTTCTGGGCACTATACTGTATGAAGAATATAAAGGAATTACAGCAGGTGCAACAAAATTTCACAAGATTATGGCTTCAGGATAGTTATGCAGATAGACTGTAGAAACTGAAGCTAAATCATGAGAGGTCTGGACAGAGTAGATAAAGAGAAATTCTTCCCACTGGTGGAAGAGTCTGTAACCCAAGGACACTCATCTAAGGTGATTGTCAAAAGAAACAAGAGTTCGATGACGAAAACTCTTTTTATCCAATAAATGGTTAAATTCGGAATGCATTGGCTAAGACAGAGGTGGATTCAGTCATTGTCTCTGAAGATAATTGGATCACTTTCCAAAGTGGAAGAGAGTTTGCAGAGGCACAAAGGGCCAAATGGCTTCCTTCTGAGGTGAGAGTATTCTACAGTTCCAGTCTAGAATATAAACTGGTTGGGAGGTGCACAAACTGAAAGGAAACATTTATTAAAACAGTGCCATCTGTTGGTTTCATACCACTTTTGTAAGCAAGGATTATGAGATGCTTTTGCACTATTTTCAGGGCTGGTTCACATTCAGTCTTGCATTGGTGTTGCTGCATTGAGACAGCATGCAGAGCACATAGACAATCTTTCAACTCTTTGCATACACATACATATTTTTGCTGCAGAGACCATTTTATTGCTGATACAAAAGGTATATTGTCATACACAAATATTGCCCATCAGGCATTCTCCCAATATTACCTACCTGTCTGCTGCATCCTCATGGACTTACACTGATGACATTGTCTAGGCTCTTTGAGACACAGGGCAGAATCTAAAACAGGCCTAAGCAACTTGGCTATGCCAAGATGTGTGATAAAATCAGACAGCAGGACAAAGAGATGGTCTTGCTCCTTTTTAGATATTTTCTAATTAACCTGTTCAAAAATGTTATTGCACACTGCTGGAGCTGATAGGATTTGAATCCAGGCCTCCTAGTTCAAAGGTAGGGGCACTACCACTGCACTACAAGAGCCCTGCTTGCTCCATCTTTTATGCTTTTCATAAGCAGCGTGGTAAGATTCTGAGGAAGGGTCACTCAACCTGAAATGTTAACTCTGATTTCTCTCCACAGATGCTGCCAGACCTGCTGAGCTTTTTCAGCAATTTCTGTTTGTGTGGCAATATTCTTGGTAGGCAGTGGCAAGATGCTAATTTACAGAAATTAGTGTTTATTAAATGCCTTGTTAATGCATCAACTCACCTCATTAAAAGGCAGATTTCCATTTTACCAACATTGACAAACAAGTTTGACGTTGGGAAAACTCAACAAAGAAACAAGAGTGGGTACCTGGTGGATTCAGCTCACTGCCTGCTCCAAATGGACTTCATGCAGGACACTGGGCAGCAACATCTCAGGACACAAGTCACAGACACCAGCCGCACACTCCTTCCTCCACTGACATTGGATTGGCATCTACCAACCTGCCATGATCATCCTAGCACTTCTATTGCTCACTTACAGTGTGCTCAGAGACATAAGACTTGCATTGCAAGGCACACCAGGAACTCGCATTGAAAGGCTACAGTGGGATGCTTTACACATGGACACACCCTTATCTCACAGACTGGACCTAAGTGCATCTTAGGGCTGTGCACTTTTTCTCTTAGCATTCACTTACTTAGGGCCTATCTGCATGCTGTCAACATCTCTGCCCTGCCTTCCTGCGCCAATTAGCACAGTCATTGAAACAGGCAGCTGGCCTTACTGCTAAGAAATCCTCCGTCTAGAAGGTGCACATCTTAGTGTATGGCAGTGTGCTGAGTCAGTCTCACACTTGTACCCTGTGTGCCACAGCTTGTGAGGCAAGCACAGTGTATCTGCAGCAAGCAGGCAGTTGTGTGTCAAAATTTGAGGTAAATAAGCCAGAATGAAATATATAGAGGCAAGTACACATTAAGTCAATACTTCCCAAACCAGTCCAGGAAATGGGCCATGGTCAGGTGCCCAGTTTTATCCTGAGACAACAATGCTCCAGATTTGGTTTTAGCAGTAAGACAAAAGTTTATTATGCATAAGAAATGAAAATCAAAGTAAACCAAATTATTTACAAATAACTCAAGTTTAAAGATTGGAAAACACAGTAAGTTACAATCCTGTTAATTAATCCTAACAGCACTCATTTACAACACTTCAACAACATAGACAATTCCCTTCACTCTTAAACACAGAGTTTGACTTAACAATGGCTTCAATTCCCAGTTTGGAGAATCTGATTGCCTTTACTTGAGCATTCATACAACTGAGCATCGATTTTTCTCAGCTTCAAATAACCCTTCAGGGTTTTAATTAATTACCCAAGGGAAGGCGATGGCCTAGTGGTATTATCGCTGGACTGTTAATCCAGAGACCCAGACAATGTTCCGGGGACCCAGGTTTGAATCCTGCCACGGCAGATGGTAGAATTTGAATTCAATAAAAGTCAGGAATCAACCATCCAACAATGACCGTGAATCCATTGTTGATTATTGGAAAAATCCATCTGGTTCACTAACGTCCTTTAGGGAAGGAAACTGCCATCCTTACCTGGTCTGGTCTACATGTGACTCCAGACCCACAGCAATGTGGTTGACTCTTAACTGCGCTCTGGGCAATTAGGGATGGACAATAAATGCTGTCTAGCCATCCCGTGAATGAATAAAGAAACTTCTGAAACTTTCAAATTCCTTACACTGAGGTACTCTATTTCTCCATAATTTTAAACTATCTCCCTTTCTCAGAAGCAGCTATTTTACACACCCAGTTTTAGCAAGACTTCTATAAAACCTACCAAACTAAAACCAATTTTTTTCAAGCTATGGGTGTTTCTACTGATTAAAAAACCTCTTCTGAACTTAAAGTCTAATGCGCAACCATTTACTTTGTTTGCTCGTTAAACTGTCCCAATGTAAACAAATTCCCATTAGCCTCCAGACATCTCTCAGAATTTTTTTTCAAAGAAGTAACCATGACTGTACAAATTAATTATTAAATCCCTTCAGACACACAATGCAAATCCTACATGCCACTAGTTCAAATTCAAGCTCAAAAGAAAGTGACATTAAAATATAGGTAAATCACAGAGTTTACATCACAAGTATGTGAGGAGTTCCAAATATTGCCAGACATTGTGCAATACTCAATGAACATTCTCACTTCTAAGTTTATGATGGAGGGAAGGACATCTGAAGGGCTATTGAGCACTGGAAATAACCTACACTCTTTTTATGATGCTAATGTTTCTCCAAATGAGAAAACATCAAAGGCAATATCTGCTATGTCTCCAGCACCTAATAGTAAGTGCCCTGCGATTTATTTCAACAGTGGTGCGCAAAAATACTGAAGGACAAGTATCTCAAATCTTGTTTTTAATGCTTATCCTAAGAATTGGAACTTCAAGATAGCTTTTAAAGAAATGATTAAATGTGTTTTATGCTTTTATTTGAGAGCATGCCAAGCACTCTGGAAAATCTGATAGCAACAATGAAAGAGACCATTAACCACATCTGTGCAATAATCTTTGTGTAGTAAAAAGCATATCAGAGGCCAAGAACAACAGCTTCAACTGCAGATCCTCCTGCAATGGAACTGAATGTTTGACAAAGGCCATGGAGAGACAAAGTTCCACTGTGTAGCTGCCCTTCTTGCTTATTCCAACATGCAATGTAAAAGGGCAATGTAAGATCCAAACATCTTGGTTTGCTTTATGAGTGATATAATTTTTGTGTATTTATGGATTATGGATGTATAAAAATACATATACACACACAGTGCAAAAATATGTATTATGTGTTTATATATACATATAAATAAAATTGATTATGAATTTGGTAGAAAGAGCAATTAAGTACATAAATACTTAATAATTTGCCAGTTACAAGTTACTGATTTATTGTTTCTTCTACCCACAAGGAATATTGAAAAAACTCACAACATTGAAGGTGGATGACAACCAGCTGAATGTTTTACCCAATGCAATTGGAGGGTAAGTGGATAAGAACAAGATCAGGCTCTGTTGTGGTGCCCTGTGGGCAAATGTCTTACTAATACACAATAAAATCAGAATACTGCAGATGTTTGAAATCTGAAATAAAAACAGAACATGCTTTAAATGACCGGCAGGTCTAAAAGCATCTGTAGAAAGAGAAAGACTTAATACTTGAAGACAAATTTGACTCTTCAGCAGGACTTCTTCAGCCCAGTTCTGAAGAGTAATTTTCCACTCAGAATGTTTACATTTTTACCACAAGCTGCCAGACCAGCTGAGTATTTCCAGCACTTTCTGTATTGCTAATACCCACTGTTTTTAAGATGATCTGCCGGGAATGAATGCTTGGATATGATATTGAGCATTCAAAATGGCTAGGCTTCCATATTCCAAGTTTTCTTTTGCAACATCAATATTGTAAACAATTAGGGTAAACAATTGTGTACCAAATTCTTCAGATTTGTTCTCTTGTGCTATGAAAACCTTGACTTAAATTCAAGGGAAGTAAATTAAATATAATTTTTGTCCGCTATATTTAAGCAAAGTTTACTCCATCTTGGTTAAACTAGTGAAAGGATCACAGAATTGCAAGTCCAAATTACATATGATGCAATTCAAGTTTCTTGATTTTTCTTAATTGCTTGTTCAAAAAGAATTGCACTTGAAGCTAACCTGACCCACAAACTGTCCATGCTGCCAAGGTCTATATATCGCTGTTGGATTTCCACTGATCATTTGTGGAACTTTGGGGAGGCTATAAGAACCAGCAGTTTTTGGGTCACAAGGACATTAATTGGTATGTCTTAAAACCTTTTAAACTTTTAAAAATGCACAGCAGAACTAAATGTTGACCCCCAATCTACCTAGTAAATATTTAGCAGTGTTTTAAGTTATTTTCAGTTATTTAAAATCGCATTACTCAGAGGTGGTAGATTAGATGTTCGAATGCACTTATTTTATTTCTGTCTTTAAATCCTTTTTCAAATGTATTAGTCAAACCACGACAAGCTAAAAACAACTCTTAAAACTGTCAAAAATATTTTCAAACCAAGATTTTTTGTTTAAATTATGGTCTCAATATTGGCCTGCTTATGCTAATTCATGGAAGATTTTGTGTTAAGCTATGTGCAAATGCACTTGAACAGAATCTTGAGAAGAAAAAGGTACTACGTTCAACTTGGATTGCCAATTGTTCCCAAAACAAAAACACTATCCTATTGCATGCAACAATGATTGGATTTTGCAGCCAACATTGGACTGCAAGAGGTGTTTATGTTTTCCTCTCTATTGCAGTCTTTCTGTCTTGGAGGAGTTTGACTGTAGTTGTAATGAACTTGAGTCTCTTCCTCACACCATTGGATATCTACATAACCTCCGAACCTTTGCAGCTGATGAAAACTTCTTGACAGAACTGCCCAGAGAGGTTAGTTGCTTTTTATATCTGTACAACTTTAATAAATAATTATTAAGTTTGTATTGAATTAGAAATAACCTTTGAGAAATAAATCCTGTTTTCTGTTTTCAGAAGTAGGACAAGAATGCTAAACTAAAATAAAATTAACAAGAAAGTGTTATTAAATTATTTTGGTGAAAAATGCTCAATAAAGGCAGTGATTTGTTTACTTTCCTGCCATTAGCCAGAGGCACTTTATCAGAAATTTCATACTCATATCCTATCCAAGTAGAATTGTTATTCCATAACTCCTGAAGTATTTTGTATTAATGTTATACCTTGATGCTTAATCTGTTAGATAATCAAAGCTGAATTATGTAACACTTCAACACTTCCTTCCATCATCTCTTATTCTCACTCACTCTTCTGCAATACCTAAAATCTTGGGAACTCTACCTCATGTAGTCTTCCTGCAAACTTTGGGCTTTGAAAAAAAGAACAAGCTGAGTATTACAATATTGTTTTTATTAATAATGATGCTAACATTATTGTCAGCCTTAGCTAAATTTGTCGCACTGTTGCCTCTGTTATCCTGAGATTCTAGGTTGAAGACCTATCTGAGGCCTTGAGCACAATATCAAGGTTGATGCTCCAAAGTGGTGCTGAAAGAAACCTGCACTATTGTAGGAGCCATCTGTCAATGAGATGTTGAATAAAAACCCAATCTGACAGCTCAGGTGGACATAAAAGTTGACATGGAACTACTTTGAAGAAAAGAAGGGGGTTAAACCTAGTGTGGTCAATATTATCCATCAATCAAAATCACAGAAGAAGCTGATGGTGCTTATTGTGCAAATTTGCTGCTACATTTCATACTTTACAACATGTGATGACACTTCAAAAGTACTTCATTGGTTATAAAGTCCTTTGGGTATGTCTGGTGCAGGAAAAGTACTATGTAAATCTAAGTATTTCTTTCTCTTTACTTTTCTCTTGACCTATCTAATCTAAAAAGACAAAGCTAGAGAGATAGGTTAAGTGAGTAGCCAGAAATTTGGTTGATGGAGGATAATGTGGGAAAATGTGATTTTGTCCACTTTGACAGAAAGAATAGAAAGGCAGTGTACTATTTAAATAGAGAGACCTTGCAAAACCCAGTGGCACGGAGGGATCTGGGTGTCCCAGTACATGAATCACAAAAAGTTAACAAATAGGTAAGCAAGTAATTCAAAGACAAATGAAATGTTGGTCATTGCAATGGGAATGGAATATAAAAATAGCGAGGTTTTACTGCAACTATACGGGGCCTTGGTGAGACCACATCTGGAGTGATGTGTATAGGTGTAGAGCTGGATGAACACAGCAGGCCAAGCAGCATCAGAGAAACAGGAAGGCTGACGAGCTCGTCCCCACCTCCCTAACCTGTCCTTCCTCCCACCTATCCCCTCCTCCCACCTCAAGCCCCAGCCCCATCTCCTACCTACCAACCTCATCCCGCCCCCTTGACCTGTCTGTCCTCCCTGGACTGACCGATGTCCTCCCTGGACTGACCGATCTCCTCCCTACCTCCACTCACCTTTACTGGCTCCATCCCAGCCTCTTTGACCTGTCTGTCTCCTCTCCACCTATCTTCTCCTCTATCCATCTTCTATCCGCCTCCCCCTCTCTCCCTATTTATTTCAGAACCTCGTTCCCCTCCCCCATTTCTGAAGAAGGGTCTAGGCCCAAAACGTCAGCCTTCCTGCTCCTCTGATGCTGCTTGGCCTGCTGTGTTCATCTAGCTCTACACCTTGTTATCTCAGATTCTCCAGCATCTGCAGTTCCTACTATCTCTGATGTGTATAGTTTGGGTTTCCTTATTTGAACTTGCGTATAATTATGTTAACTGCAGTTCGAAGAAAGTTCATTCGACTCATTCCTAGGATGAAGGGCTTTATTTCATTACTAAAGATTGAACAGGTTGGGCTTGTACCCATTGGAGTTTAGAAAAATGAGAGGTGATTGCATCAAAACAGGAGATCCTGACAGAACTTGTAGATTGGATACTGGGAAAATGTTTCCTCTACTGAAGGAGACTAGAGCTGGGGATACAGTTTAAGAATAAAAGATTTCCCTTTTAAGGTGGAGATAGAAGTATTTTTCTCTTAGAACATTGTGGTTCTGTGAAATTCTCTTCCCCAAAATGCTGGGTTATTGAATTTATTCAAGATAAAGACAAGGATGTTATGGAGCAGATAGGAAAGTGGAGTTGAGACTGCAACTGGATCGGCCATAATCTTACCAAATACCAAAGTAGCTCATATTCAATTTGAATATTCCCATGCATTCTGGGCCTTAAACTTTTACTTTAATGTATCTCACTAAAATGTATATTTATCCTGTTACACTTTATGTGTGTGTGTGTGTGTGTGTGTGTGTGTACAGGCAAATTCTTAACATTACAGAACATAAAGCCTCCATACAATGCTCATGCCTGTACCATGCAATTAACAATAATTGGCTCTCCTAAATAATACTTGTGTTTCTAAAAAACTTTTAATTCAAGCTCCGAAATCTGCAGGTTTTGTAAAATTAAAAAAGAAACAAGGATCTGAGACAATAGAGTCACTGGCTTAGACATAATAGTACTGGAACCCTAATTCCAAAAGCTGCCCTGAAACCCTGCACTCACCATTTTTATTCTGGTAGTGCGAGAGGCAAAGGTGGCAGGTTTATTTGTGGTCCATAAAGGCAGCTGCACATGTTAAGTGCAGCTGCCTTCCTTCAAATCCAATTTTCATGAGTAGAATGAGCTATAGGCCTTCGACCTGTTGGGAAAAGGTCTAATGTTTCTAGAGTTCTTCGGAGAGCTATTGCACCTTTTTTGGATAAATCCAGAGAAATCACTGAGACAGTTAGGGTGTCCTCTAGGTGACATTAGGTGATATTTAGGGGAGGTCAATCATGTTGGTATTGTTAAAAGTTGATATGAAAATGCATCAAATAGGATAATCGCATCAAAACTGTTAAGCCATCAAGGCATTTTGCAATGTAAAAGCAAAATCAGTTCTTGCTATTTCATTCTGTCTGTTGACTTAAGCCTGAGGGTTATTGTTACACAATTTGTGCTACATGACTAATTTCACAACCTAACATGTCAGAATGGGTACAAAAACAAAGTTGCTGGAAAAGTTCAGCAGGTCTGGCAGCATCCAGAGTTAACATCTAAAAAACAGAGTTAACGTTTCATGTCTGGTGAGCCTTCCTCAGAACAGTTCTTTCAGTTTTTATGTCACAATGGGTGCCTGTCAGTTTAGTTTTATTAATATCTCCAAATGCTTACAAAGTCTTCCAAGTGGGGCTATGAATACAAAATCTTGTCATAATATGGAAATAAGTAGTTGCAGCATATTAAAGGTAGTGAATGGGTTTTATTAATGAGAGTGTATTTTTAAAAGAATGCTGAATTCATCAATAAACATTAAGAATTTTACCTTCCTTCATCTCAGCATAATTCCTGAGGTCTACCCACAGTTACTGGGTGAGTTGGCAGGAGATTGTGAGGGCAGAAGGGTAAGGGTGGGGGTCATGGGTTGGCATGAGTTTGCACTAATTTGGCATAGGGCCAGTAAGGTCCATGTGTGGTGGGTAAATGGGCAAAGACTGGCATTAAGGGGATGAGGAGCCATGGTTTGTGGGTAAAGGGCATGAGTTGGCAGGGATAGGACATGGCAGTTGTATGAGGGTTGTGAAGGCCAGAGGGATTTTTTGTTTCATTCTTTTCTCATAGCTGAAACAAGGTGTTTAAGCACAGAAGCCAGCCTGTCTGCCACCTACCTTTGCATCAGGCAGCATCCCACTTCATTCTATAGTCCTGGGTGGACGTTTGCTCATTCCTACCTCCGTGGATCAAAAATCTAACTATTGGGGCATTTCATTCAAGTCTGTTTACAGAGTTTGAATCTTCCCGACTCTCTACTCCCAAAAGTGGGAAAAAAAATTAAGGTCGAATCATCAAATGCTAAAAATTCTGAAAGTGAAATAATTGATTTTTCTATTAATAAGTAAACAATCACAAGCATGCACATATTGTTTTTATATGTCTGTATTAGTTATTGCAGACAGATAATACAAATCCAGGCTTTTTCTAGCTCACACATATAACAGACTTTGAAAAAGTACAAAGTAGTATCTTAGGAAGAATTTCACCCCGTTAGCCTCCCTCACTGTCGATATGCCCATGGCCTTTGCATGTTATTTCTCCATAATAGCAAAATCGAAGTTTCAGAAGAGGCCATGCTGATATTACTCAATATGAACTTAGGTCAGCAAACTCCATGATGCTGTATATTTAGCATTGGAATGAGTTTGTCTGCTTGTCATGCACAAAGTTAAAGGGGAAGTTTTAACCTGAAGAGAACATGAGTTTGGGTGGAGTTGCAGGTTAAAACCAACAAAAATGTGAACACTTGGGAAACTGAGTCCAATACACTGAATTTTGCATTTAAATTGAATATATTTGGTTGCATTGGAGTACAGATGAGGAGCCAGCACCAGTATTATCTTGCTGTTGGACATCCTGCAGCTGGACAACAGAGAATTGAGGAGGGTTAAAATTGAATCAGAGATAGTAGGAACTGCAGATGCTGGAGAATCCGAGACAACAAGGTGCAGGGCTGGATGAACACAGCAGGCCAAGCAGCATC